CCAAAAGGCGTGAACAAACCAGGCACCCGCGGAACGCAAAATACCTCACAAGCGAAACCACAAAGACAGGAAGCAGACGATATCGCCCCAGAGGCCCCCTTCGTAGCCTTGAACTCAAGCACGTTGCACAATTATTAAGTCTGCTAACCACCCTGGTCACTCAACTTTCGGCTCCTCACCCTCGGAAGCAGCAGAGACGGTGTTAAAATGCTTGTCCAGAAACTGCCTCAGCCTTTTCAACAAACTCGGCGATATTTAACAGACAGCTTGCTTTCAACAACCGTCCATAATCGCACTCAGAGACTTGGCCCACACCAGATGTCTCTGACGTGGATATCTCGAGAAACGGCTACCCTATTTTTCGAGCCGACTCAAAACGAGGGAGAGCTGGTGGGGTTGCTCTGTACTTACGTGCTGCCAATCAAGATCGTCTCCCCTGACACCACCCCCGCACCATTTCGCGATGCATTGTGGGCCCAAATCCCGCTGCGCGGGTCCGATTCTCTTCTACTTGGCGTGGTTTACTGTAGCCCTTCGAGTCCCCCAGAAGATGACCAAGTCCTCATACAAACTCTTGAACAACCCTCCAACTACCACTTCACTCATCTCCTGCTGGTACTGTGGCCCTGGGCGCTGAGTGGAGGCACCAAGAATTAGTGATTTTGGTGGCGATCCCAAGAGGCCCATTTTTGCGGAGGAATTCACCTTGAAGCTAGCTAGCAGTTTTCTAATCTGGCAATTTTTATCTGGCTTGTTTGGCTGCAGTTGCTCTTCTTTCGTGCTTGTGTGGATACCCGATCCACCGGCGATCAGCGTGGCCAACTGGAAGTATAAGGGATTTTCCGGATGGCTATAGTCATGCTTATGGCTTAGGTTGTCGGGTTCCTGGGCGACGGTTGTGTCCACAATCACAGGGGCCGCTTTTGACGGAGTGGAGCTGAAGATAGGCTTCGCTGCTTGTCCCCGCACATCTGACTCTGTACAGTTCAGAGATTGTGGCTTTGTTGAGGAGTGCATGGCTGCAGCTGGGTTGTCTGTTACGGAGATAAGCGTTGATAGCTCCACGTAATTTGGGCGCTGCTTGCATGTGAGTTTTGCCTCGTCCAGGAATCACTCCCTTTGGTGGGCGAGAGGCCCGTGGTGGTTGAGTAGAAACTGCTGTCCGGAGACGCAGCTGATTTCGTCGAACTGCTTTCGATAGCACAACGGGATACGAACACAGTCGGCTTGGTTATGAGCTTAGGGTCAGCTGAATTGGTGCCCAGCAGAAGCCTGTTTCGTGCCTACACACCTGACCTGTTGTGACACAGTCTTCGCGCGTCTAGATTGCGATCCTCAGATAGGCGCCTGATCATTGGGTTGGTCTTCTGAATGCTGCCAGCCCGCTCCAAGATCTTCTGTCCGTTAGATGGGGAAGAACGAGTGACTAGAAGTCCAAGTGTTCGCTTGCTTCCCTTCTGGCGTAACCATTCTGCGTGGAGCTATTGGT